AAATAAATTTTTGCACGCACAAATTTAACAATTATTTTATACATATTTCTAGTTGAATTTTTGCAAGTAACTTACCTGGACTTTACCAAACGCTGTATATTATACTTTATTTTTTAGAATTTATTATTTGTTATTGCAAGCATTGTAACGTACCAAATATGAGAGACAAATCTGAATTGAAAGACGTTTGTTAGTAAAATGTTAGTTAGCTAATAAAAATAAATTAATTCATGAATATACATTTATCGTACATAACACCAGCAACGAATTTAATTTTTAATAAGCTACAAGCTGTTTTGAGTACATAACTTGATAAAATTTTGAATACATACCCTACTACGTTTTTGTAAACATATCAAGAATAATATATTTCATTAACTTGAAGAAGAAATGTAATATAAAGTTATATAATTGAAGCAAAGTGATAAAAGAAATACATTGATAGCATTAAGATTAAGACTTTAATAACAGCTGCATGAATATTTATATAATTAATCCAAGTCTTTATCTTAGAGGTCAACTTTAAAAAACAGTAGGTATCTCACGTAGTCAATCTTTAAAAAAACTTCAGTCAGTTTTTAATTACTCCTCAATAAATACATAAATATTTATCAAAAACTTCAAACAAGAATTACTAAATACATTAAAACATTACAATTTTTCTCATCTTTTTAATTGCAATAATTGGTGCAAATTAAATAATTGTGATAGTAATCAATAGACAAGACAAAAACATTATTTTTTCTGAAATACAATATTTATATGAATGGTGTTTTGTAATTTAAGGATAAAATAATTGTTGTAATTTAAATAGATTCAATATTTTTTGGTCAGAATTTATACGCATAGTTCACGATTGTCTGTTACTTTGCGTCTCCGTATTTTTCAGTGGTGGAAGTTTTAATATAAAAAAAGATTGAAAAATATTTAATTATATATACATCGAAATAAATAAAGCTTTTAAAACATGGGTATTTTAGCTTTATTCTGTAAATCAGAAAATATTTACAAATACTTTTTACACCAATCACCAAAATATATTTAAATGAAACGTTATATTATTAAAGAAATAAATACCTATTTTCTATTGTAAAAATAGTTCTTTGTATGAGAAAATTGCGATCTTTGGTTATCTGTTTATAAAACTAAATAATAGCTTTTGTTTACAAACTTACCAAATCTAATGATAATATGTTTAGTTTTCTCAGTGGAAGGAACCAATTTTCTTTTTCACTATGAGCACAAAGTGCGGCAAGCTCTTTGCGCCCTCGGGCTTGCTTTTGCGACCTTTAATCACTTTGCACTCTCGGCAAAGAAAAAAGTCATGTACGATTTTTTGCGATTTTCAATGTTAAAACATTATTGTTTGATTTCTTACAATTTTTAATTACTATAAGTGCAGCCTGAAAACAAAATTTTTATTTGTACGTTATTAGTATTTATAAATTCGTATTTTATAACTTTGTCGTTGTTTCAACATAATTATGTTTATTTTTCAATCAGTAGCAAAAATAGCGTTTTCCACAGATACCCATCGGCTAGAGTGATAACAGCTATTCCTTCAAATATGCCTTGCAAGGGCCATCGCAAGGAATGATTTGGAAGTTTCAAGGGGGTGGTTAAGAGTTATGGAATCAAATATTTCAACTTTCACAGCTTTTGATAATATTTGAAATTTTTTATTTTATCAATTTATTTATGCTGAAAAAAATTTTAATACTTAGCAATGTGCATTTAACAGACACCCATTGTCTTAATATAATTAAAATGATAACTATAGCTTGAGCCAATGCAGATTGCAGCTAAAAAATCAGGCTGGTGATGGCTCAGATCAGCCTACGATTTACTTCACAACAAAAAATGTTAGGACAATTAGGGCACCTACTTTAGGCCCTGTTTGAGGGGTGGAGAGAGTGAAATTATATCCAGAGCAAAGTAGATATATGAGCTCCATCTTGCGAAGGTAAGTCAAACAGGTGAATTTTCTTTTATATGCTTACAGTGGCTTAAGAAGAAATTAATGTAGTTTTATACGGTATTAAGGACTTAAAAACCATTTCTTGAATAAGAGAATAAAAAACTCATAAATAAAATGTAAGACATCATGATGAAATAATTAAATAAATGCAATGAAAATTTAAAATTTTGAAAAAAAAAAATTAGAATATTGCTTGAATTAAAAGAGCATTTGCCAATTGGGATGAGAAAGTTGTAGGACGAACCATACTAAGTAGCCTGAATTACGTTGAGAAAACAAAATTCTACTATAAAAGTGTTTAAGAGATTTGTTGAAATTTTTTTTACTGATTAGAAGATCAGTGCATTGTATTGCGTGAAAAATTATTGGATACTGTATTCATCTGCACAAAAACTATTTTTTAATATTCCGGTAATTCATAAAGGAGTGAAATTTTGATCCAAGCTTTACCCTGGCGTATAGAAGAATATTCGCTGTGTATAAGTAGCTGAGGGGTACGAAAAAACTACAACAAAGACTTATTGCTTCATCAATAATACATTTTTTGATTTTACTACTAATTTCAGTCACCAGACATAAATGTATCAGCAATCATAGTAAGTGTATGCCTCACTGGTCCTATGGATAGAAAAGAGGTTTCTTACTAATGAAAAAGATAAATGTGTCAAAGACGAAAGTGTCAATACGATACATCAGTATATTAACAATTAGGATAATGGAAAAACTTCTATTTTTGTCATCCCTCTATGAATTTCAATAACAAGATACAGCATAATACAGGTTTAATAATTAAATCTTGTCTCTTGACGTTAAAACTCTAATCAAGTCCCAATTGATGAATCGACACAATAAGAAATAAGAGTTATTGAGGAATAAATGTTTTTTGTTTCAACGTATTTTCTAAACTCAGTCACGTTTTGGATTTCAAGTCAACCAGACTGATGCCAACAGAATAGAACAAGTCAATACTAACTGTCAATATCGCATAGCTCATCTACTTATTTTGAAATAAACATTCTTATTCTTCACAACATACGTCATTCCATGTAACTATTATTACTTCAAAAACTCTGTAAAGTAAGTGTTATCTACAGATTATATTCTTGTGAATAAGTTACCTCTATTTTTTCAGTTAAAAACTTCTATTGTTGAGATGTTTTCTAAACTAATGTCAAGAATGAGGACAAGGAATTTCAAATTTTCACTACTAAAACTATTTTACTTCTTCAGTCGAATGCTTGGGACTATAACTATGAGTTTTCAAGAGACCCCCATAAGAAATAATACTTTTAACCGTTGGTCGTTTGGTTTTTCTTACATTGGGACAGCCTACAATATTTGTTTATTGACAATATTAGTAGCAGTGCAAAGTTCTCATATACAATATTTACTCGAAGTAATAGGTGGCAATTATCTTTTAAGTATCGTCGATCGTTGCAAAGACATTTACTTCACACTTAAATATGTATCAGTCAATGTGATTGTAATACACAGTATTGTGAAACAAAAAGCTGCAATAACAATTTTTACAAAATTTAATTCGATAAAAGAATCAATAGAAGGGTTGAAAAAGTACAAGAAAAATAAGTTAAGGATATCACTAGAAAAAATATATGTTTGTTATTTATTATTGAAGTATACTATCATCCTATTTGAACCGGTTAAACTGATTGTACGTAACCCACAGCTAATGGAAACAGTTTTATTTATTATAACCGTAGTTCGTCAATTAATTATTGATGTAACTGTGTTGCAGTATATATTTTTCACTATTTTATTAAAAGATTTATTTAAAACTGTTAATCGTCATTTGAAAAAAAATTTTGTTACCTCCAATAGTGTGGCACAAATAAATTCATTGGATTGTACCAGTAAACAAGAAAAGTCACTGACCATAATAAAACTGCAAAAAATGTACACGTCATTAGTTGAAATATCTAATGATTTGTCTGGTCTTTACACGTTGCCAATATTCTTATCAATTGTGGTAAATTTCATGTTTTTTTTGTTTATTATCAGCAGAATGATAAGAATGCTTGTTAAAATTCATCCTCCAGTATATAGCATAGCAAAGCTATCATTATTTATTATTGACTCTGCCATTTTGTCCTTACTGTTATTTAAGTCTGCAAGCTTGGTAAATAAACAGGTAACACAATACTAGATTAAAATTTTTATTTTTAAGTCTCAAATTTCATGCGATTTTTTAAATTTTACAGAGTAAAACAATTGACGTCACATTGAATAATTGTCTCAAGTATAATGATGGAGTAAAACATCAAAATATAACATTTCAGGTAAAAATTTTAAGATAAATAATTTAATCGACAAATGATTAATTAATTACAATATTTATCTCTAGCTACTGATTTTTCTCTACCGATGCAAAAGTTCAGAAATCAAGTTTGAAGCTCTGAATTTTTTTCAAATAAACGAGTCACTACTAGTATCGGTAAGTGATTTTTTAATTTTTCAAAGTTAGACTATAACGTCAAAAATTATAGAGTATAAAAAAATGCGTTTATTATAAACAAAGTGTATTATCTTTTTTTCAGATGCTAAGCGTGACTCTATCGTATGCGATTACACTCCACGGACTATTTTTGAATTAATATTAATTATATGATTAGAACACTTATCGGATGATTGATGGCTGCAAAATCTTAAAGCATGGGCTTTTCAAATAGTATTGTATCCTCTAAATCATTTAATCTCACGTACCATAGCACAGTATCCCTTTTATGATGTTAAAGCAAAATTATTTCATACTATTGCACCCTTTCATTTTAAATAATTGAAATATTTTAATCAACATCTTTACATTCATGAAAATTTTCGTCCTTTATTAATAAAGATAAATTGTGTGAAGTATAAAAAATGACACTCTGTTGAACACACCTTTTATTTATCAAATTGATTTTTTTCTGATATTAAAAATAAAACATAAATCTAACCCAAAATAAACGTAGTATCTAACTTCGACGTATATTTTTATCTGAATCTAATCAAGTTTTAAGTTTTCGTACGGTCTGTCCCAAATAATGGATGAGTCAGTTATTGCACCTTATTTAAAAACCACCGATTTTTAATTCATTTTCTTTCTTTTTTACTTAATTCTTAGAGAGTTTTAATGCCAAAGTACCATTGATTCTAGCTTTATAAATCATTTAAAAATTATTATTTTTCAGAACATTTTTTGTTGTTCTATACATTTGAATGTTAAACAGTGATTTGACCAAAGTTTTTTTTTTTTTTTATAAGGTTACGTAGTTTTAATTTAATTTTTAAAAATATTATCCTCAGTGCCACGTAAAAATAAAATTAAGTTTTGCACATTTTTAATTTTTTTAAACCAGTTTTTTTACCCTGATCAATTTTAAAATACTAAGATGTTTATTTTTCCATTGATAGGAAAACTGATACAACTTTTCCACTCATGAGCACTGGCCAAAGTTACCTTTTCCTTTGGAAACACTTAGGAAAGGCCATGGGGAGGATGGATTTGTTTGTTTTGAATGAGATAAATACATGTTACGAAATTTAATACTTACATCCAAACAATTAAATTTTCTATTTTTTTTTATGTTACGTTCTTATGAGTCCAGTAAACAGAAACCGATCCTCTAAATATAACTTAAATTTTAATCAAAGTTTTGGCTTTTTTGCTTAATACTATAAGAAATAAATTAAACGTCAAAACCAGATAGATAGCTTGGACTAATGCAGGCTGACAAGTTTGGGCGCAGGTTAGGGTTAAAAAGTCTTTCTGGTCATGGTACCTGCTCTGGGCCCTGTTTGAGGGGTGGAGAGAGTGAAATTATATCCAGAGCAAAGTAGAGATATGAGTCGCGTCTTGCGAAGGTAAGTCAAACAGGTAAATTTTCTTTTATATGCTTACAGTGGCTTAAGAAGAAATTAATGTAGTTTTATACGGTATTAAGGATTTCAAAACCATTTCTTGAATTAGAGAATGAAACACTCATAAATAAAATGTAAGACTTTATGTTAACGTAGTTAAACAAATACATTTTTATCACAAATTCCACACACTTGTAAGCATGCTAAATCTTTGACTGATAAGTTTTTTCACTCCACAGCTTTCCTACATTAATTCTTCTCCAGTCAAATGTGTCCAATTTAATAGAACTGATTAACCACTTGGTGTACCATAGATTTAGTTGTTCTTAAAATTCTTATCCACGTCACCACGATGTATCTTATGAAAAACAAAAACATTAGCTACACATTTTAAACGTGTAATTTAACACGCTTGGATTTACAGTGTAAAGCATTCAAATGGCTGTAATATAATATACAATTGTATACATATGTATAAAACACGAATGCAAGCTCTAGGTGCCATCGTGTATTGCTACACCCTCATCATCAGCAGGATATTCGCTGTGTGCAAGTCATTAAAGATGTAAAAAAATCACAGTGAAGCCCATGGAGGGAGAAGCGAAAAAAATAAAAATCGCAAGACTTGTTAAAACCCGATACTCTATAAATAATAAATTTTTTAATTTTACGACTATTTTAAGTCATCAGGCGTCATGAGGTATAAATGTATCAGTAATCATAGTATGTGTAACATCTTAAAATTAGATGTTAATGTCAAAAATTATTGGAGTATGAAAAAAATTGGTGCATTTATTATAAAAAAGTATATTATCCTTTTTTCAGATGCTAAGTGTGACTCTATCATATGCGGTTGCACTGCATAGACTTTTTAAAAATAATGACAATTTTATATTTAAATATGTACCAGATGATTGATAGCTGCAAAATCTTGAAGCATGGGCTTTTCAAATAGTGTTCCATTCTCTTAATCATTGAATCTTAGGTAATATAGCACAGTATCTTTTGTACGATGTTTAAGCAAAATTATATTATGCTGTTGCAACTTTTAATTTTAAATAATTGAAATATTTTAGTCAACATCCTTATATTCCTAAATATTTTTATCTTTTAGTAATAAAGATAAACTGTGCAAAGTATCAACAATGTTATCATTTTGTTCAACACACCTTTTATTCATCATATCAATTTTTTTCTGATATTAAAAATTAAAATTTAATCTAAAGTTAAACAGAAGACCATTATTAACTAACATCTTATACCAAAACAAACGTACTTTTGACATATATTTTTGTCTGGATCCAAACTAGTTTTAATTTTTTTATTACGTACTGAATATGCTTTGTGTTAAAAGTAAACAGTGTTTGAAATGTTGAGAATTCTCTAAGCTATAGTACTGAGTAAAATTATAGAGAAAAATATTTTGTGTACATGCATCACACTATTGTTGATAATTGTGCATGAATTATGGTTCATACTCTCGATATTGTAGAAATAGACTCGATAGTGCAATTATTCACCCCTAAATTGCATAGTTTAGTATAAAATTTTAAGGATTAATGACGCTAATATACTGTTGTTGTTACTCGTTACTCATGTCTGGTATGTACTGGAAGATATACTAGATGTGCTGCAATATACGATGTGCACTCAAGTATACAAATAATTTATAAATCAATACACGTGTATTAACTAAAAAGAGTCGATGAGAAACAAATGGGTTAGAAAAACTGTCGACAACTCGATGTGGTAAGAGGAGTGAACATAATTTCAGTAATTTTTTCGACCTGGTACTCCATCAATAATACATTTTTTAATTTTACAAAAACTTTGAGTCACCAAACATAAATGTATCAGTATTCATAGTGAGTTTATACTTCACAGTGCTTATATCATTTAGAAAATAGGTTTTTGTTAATAATACAATAGATGAGTAAAAGTAGATATAATTAAATGAGTGACGTCCTTGGCCTAGATATGGCTTTCGTAGATATAGCACCTAATTTTTTTTTATTAAAACGTGGACTTGTTATTTGCCTGCTTAAACAATCAATATTAGACATGAGAATTTAAACAATCAGAATAATGGAAACACTTTTATTTTATTTTTTTCATTTGCCTCTCAACTTTAATAACACCGTACAGCATAGTTATACATCTAGGCTTAACAATAAAATCTAAAATCTTGGGGAGTCCCAAATTATTATGATATTCTATGTATCATAAATAATTGTACAAAGTACCTAAAATTGTTCTTCAATGCCTTTTATGCTGTCTCAGAACAACGTTAATAATTCATGAACCGACGTAATGAAAAAGAGTTATCAAAAAATAAGTGGATTCATAATATTCTTTCGGTGTATTTTTCAAACTTAGTTACCTTTTAGAATTCAAGTGAACTGGACTAATAACAATAGAATAAAACGAATCAATAATAACAGTCAACAGTGTATAACATATCTACTTTTTTTCATTCAACTTTCTTGTTCTCTGTAACATACGTCATTTTATGTGACTATTTTTACTTCAAAAACTAAGTGTTATATCCGAATTATTTTCTCATAATTAGGTTACTTCTGTTTTTTCAGTCAAAAACTGCGATGTTTTCTAACTTGGTGTCAAGAATAAGGACAAAAAATTCTAAGTTTTCATTACTAAAATTATTTTTCTTTTGTAGTCGAATGCTTGGAACTATAACTATGAGTTTTCAAGAGACCCCCATAAGAAATAATACTTTCAAACGTTGGTCGTTTGGTTATACTTACATTGGGACAGCCTACAATATTTGCTTACTAACAGTAATCATAATAAGGCAGTATTACAATTTTCAACATTTGAATAAAATCATAGCTAGACATCACACTTTAAGTATCATAAAAGTTTGTAGAGAAATTTACACCACATCTAAATTTGTATCAGTGGATTTGATTTTAATACAAAGTATTGTTAAACAAAAATCAGCCATAACAATTTTTACAAAATTTAATTCCGTCAAAGAATCAATAGGAGAGTTAACTAAGTACAAGAAAAATAAGGACTGGATATCACAAAATAATATATACGTTTGTTTTCTAATGTTGAAATACATTATAATCACACATGGACCGATTGAAAGAATTTTACGTATCCCAAAGGCAAAGAAAATAATCTACCTTATAATAAACGTGATTTGCCATTTAATAATAGATGTAACAATGTTGCAATATATATTTTTCACTATTTTCATTCAAGATTTATTTAAAATAGTTAATCATAATTTAAAAATTTTTTATGTAAAGTCTAGTATTGCGATAAGTACCAATTCATTGGATGAACAAGAAAAGTTACTAATCATAAAAAAATTACAGAAAATGTACATGTCATTAGTGGAAATATCTAATAATCTGTCTGATTTTTACTCTTTACCAATATTTTTATCCATCGCGAATAATTTCATGTTTTGTATGTATTATATTAGTAAATTAATAAAACTGCTTGTTAAAACTACTCCTCCAATGCAGAAAATAACAATGAAAATACTATATTTTATTCACTTCTCCATTACATCGTTACTGTTAATAAGGTCTGCAAGTTCGGTAATCAAACAGGTAACACAATACTAATCACAAATATTTATTTTTAAAGATGAAATTTTGTACAACTTTTTTAATTATGCAGAGTGAAAAAATTAACGTCACGTTGATTAATTGTTTGATATGCAATGATAGTGTAAAATATCGGGATATAACACATCAGGTAAGAATTCAAAGATAAAGAATTTTGCAGAAAAATAATTGATAAATTAGAATACTTGTTTCTAGCTGCTGATATTTTCCTACCGATGCAAAAGTTCAAATATTAAGTTTAAAGCTTTAAATATTTTTCAAATAAACGAGTCACTTCTAGTATCGGTGAGTGTTTTTTTAATTTTCTAATGTTAGACTTTAGTCGTTTTAACGAGTATAAAAAAAATTGCATTTAGTATGAACAAAGTATATATTTTTTTCAGATGATAAGTGTGACTCTATCATATACGGTTACACTGCATATACTATTTTCAAAATAATAACAATTCTATGTTTCAATACATAGCAGATGATTGATAGCTGCAAAATTTCAATTGATGGTCTTTTTAAATAATTGTATATGCTTCACATCATGAAATTTCACGTCATAGTACCTTTTTTATGATTAAAAGTAAAATTGTTTATACTGCTGTGCCCTTAAAGTTTAAATAATGGAAGTATTTTAACAAAACCCCTTTTATTGATGAAAATTAAAAAATGTTACTCTGTCAAACATACCTTTAATGAGTCACATTAATTTTTTTCTAGCATCAAAATAAATCTAAATTGAATCTAAAATTTTTATTGTGTCCAAGTTAAACGAGACACTATTAGTAAACAGCATTTTGTGACAAAACATACCTATTATGTAACTTCGATGTACAGTCTTTGTCTTGATCTAATTTAGTCTTTGTTCGGTATGTCTCATATCGCTAATGTGGCAGTCGTTACAACTAATACTTAAAACTACGGATTTTGAATTTTATTTTATTTTATTATTATTATTTTTTTACGTTTTAAAAATCACTTAAAAACAATTATTAATAAGAAAAAACTTCCATAGAATACAAAGTACTCAAAATTGAGAACCCAGATTTAATAGTGTGCATCCACAAGAGCAATTTTTGTTGATATATTGGTTTCAGCAGATTTTGGAACTACCAGCTTCATAGTCTAAAACTCTTTGAAAAACTCTTTTTTTTATTATAAAATGTATATTATGTCATACTTTGCTTCTGGGTGTCATCAAAAGTAGTAATTTTTTAATGGGATACAAGTTTACAACGGCAATTTGGCTCTTTTTCCACTTAAAACAAAATCAATAGATTTAAAATTATTT